CGATTGGGCATACGACTATACAGGTGTCAATGGATCAGTAGACTATGCCGTTGCGCTGGATTACGTTCTGGACAATTAAAACATCGCTGTAAGCAGCTGAATCATGTGATAAATCTCGCATTGCCGTGGTAATTATCTATAACCTCATTCCTGCTTATGCCTCCTCGTCCTCCTTAGGATTGACTGCTATCCTGGCCCCTGACCCAACCCCTTTCCCCTTTAACCACGTCCTAGAGGCTTTCATGAACATGAACTTTCATGCTGCGACAACTCCTTCCCCCTCCTCTACCCCCTCACTAGGCGCCCACATCTATGACTAATTGTTTCTACTCTCTTTTCCTTTCAAGTTTCACCCTTCGAGCCTGACACTTAATTGGACGGTTAATTATCTTATTAATAGGAATAGGTGAATTCAAGAGTTATCGTTTAGGAAACCCTGCTTCGGTAGTCAGCTCACTGTATCTAAATAGGTAGATCCCATACAGTGCAGTAGGGTTGGTGGATAAATTGTTCCAAGTATACAGTAACTCACCACCCCCTGCATGATAGCTTAGTTGGCCGGAGCGTTGACTGAAGTGCGTTCTAATCTCCCCAAGGCCACCGAGATTTTCACATTTTGGTCAAAGGCGTTTATTGTGTTGTTACTTCGATGGGGCTAATGTATTGTGGCTCAAATATTCATATCATTTTAGGTGTACGCTTTTTAAACTAAGATCAAACTGATTTCTCCTAGGTTTATAATTACTTCACAAGTTCGCAAATATTATTATCTGCCAAAAAAGGATACAGGCAATGGTGGGACCCACTGGCGAGCCGAATACCTAACACCTGTGTCATACAGGGGCATAATAACACATGCTTGAGCTTTTCGCTAGGTCTCGTGCTGCAAGAATGGCGTTTCCTTTAACCTCAATACCGAACTAATATACTTACGACAAACCTAAGGCCAAGAACTAACCCTCTTGTTAGTCAACGGTTTCAATGTGTGGTGGTATTTTATAAGCCTCCGTAAGTACTCGTTTGATATCTGAATTCTACCGAGGTGTTTCAATCCTTTTTGTGTCTAGCCGTCGAGCCTCTTTTTTGACGCCAATCCCTGAGTGACCCGCACAAGCGTGTTGGGACAGGTCATTTGATTTTCAGGCATGCATTTTGTCTGTTTATTAACATGTTCCACCGATCTCCGCGACCTCCATTAGGTCTGAAAGGGTAAAGTTTCACTGATCGGTCACTAACCAGTGCATGAGTAGTCATTACGTGCCGTCCTGATTAGGGTGACCGTGATGATGTACGGTTTTCTGACCACATCAATGACACCCATAATAAAGGGCCTTCAAGGTTGATCCTCTTTCGGATTACCTTAGTAATTAAATAAGTTAACACATAAAACAGTTTTTTGTAGATAAGGGGTCTTTCTTTGCGTCTCGCCAACTCTGTATTAACCGGAGGTCTGTACGAAACACAT